AATTTATAACTAAAGTTTGGTACTGGTACTAGGTTGAGAAAAAGAAAGTGGAGGGGCAAATTTGAGAATGAAGTCCCAGTAGAGGAAATATGTTGTCCTTTTAACGAAAGAACTAAATGGAAGGGTAAAACATGTGAATAAAAAATGTCCTATAAGTGGTTTAACTTAAAACATATATTATAATTGACGACACTTTTGAGAATGTCCAATATGTATATGAGGAATGTCCAAAAAAATTGTCTTGTCCCACCCAAAATATGGCTAATAATAGGACTGTTTGTAATATATAGGTATGGATAATAATAAAAATAAGGACTTAAAGCTTCAAAATAGCAGAGGACAATTAGGGGCTCTAATAACCGTTATAGCAATGAGATTCTGCGACATAAGTTACCTAACCAACGACATTTGATGGAAGATTGTCAAAAGGATGAATCACCTAGAAACACGAATGTAGGATTGAAACAGAGAGGTAAACCAAAGCTACAAATAGGGCCAGGAAAGAAATATAGTCTATGCCTTAGCAGGAAGAAATAGACTAGAGACCAATCTTTCTTTATGATTATATCTTGCTCATTTGTTTGGCTTTAATTGTAATTTCGGATGCCGCAGAAAGATCCACCTTCGAGATATAATTAAGAAGAAAACACTAACAAGATGGTAATCTACAGAAAACAACAATAAAGTAATGTGTCCATTATCTAATAAAAGAGAAGGACAAATTTTCAAAAACGTCCTATTTGGACATTTAAACCCAAAAACAGACCTATTTGTCTTTTATTTTCAAAAATCGATCTGGTTTCAGTCTCAGCATTGAAACCAGGTCGGTTTTTTTGAAAAAACTTCACAAATTTCACGGGACTTGATGTCCCGTAAAGTTTAGCAGCTATTTTGATAAGCTGCTAAACTTCAGGGGACTTAAAGTCCCATGAAGTTTGAAAGTTCAAAAAATCTTCACGGGACTTCCAAGTTCTGTGTAGTTTCAAAATTAAAAAAAATTCACGAGACTTGAAGTCCCGTGAAGTTTGAGGCTGAATTTCCAGAGAAACAATTCTCTGGAAAAACGACCCTGCAACTCCACGGGACTTCAAGTTCCGTGGAGTTTCACTCTACCTATATAAGGCAAACGCGATCCGTGACTCGTCCTAACGTCCCCTCTCCAAAAACCCTAGCCCCCTTCCTCCTCAAACTGCTCCCCTCACCCCAACCCTTACCCCCGCCCCTAACCCCTCACCTCACCAGCGTCGCCACCGACCTCGACGCCGTCCCTACCACCGGTCATCACCGTCGTCGTCACCGTCGGAGTTCACCGGAATTAGGGCATCGTCAATATTAAGGTAAAATTTAAAAAAAAAATCTTTTTAATACTAATTTTTTATATATTCTCACAATTCTTGGTGATTACTTGTAAAAAAATCAGATTTTAAAATAAATTTGAATTATTTATGAATTTTGAGAAGAAAAATTATATTGTGTATGAAGTTAGAGGGAAAAGTATCGACATTTGTAACCGTGAAGTTAGAGGGTAAATTAAAGTTTGACATTTGGTTAAAATTAGGGGTTTACTAATATCGATCTAAGAGATTTACTATCTAAAATTATGGGTTTCTAATTATGGGTTTCTAATATTGATATTAAATTTTTTACTCTTCATAGGTAACGATGAACGATCGAATCGTAATTCTTTGTTCATATGATGGGAAGATTAATTATCTCGGAAATAATATGCTCGTTTATGAAGGAGGTGTCAGCCATTGTTTATATCAAAACCGTTTACTTTCGATGAATTGGTTAATGACTTACACAAACTTACATTAACCAACTCACGTGAGTATCACCTCAATATTATTTGTAATTATCCTGTTGGGGGAACAGAACAAGCGACATTCAAATCTCAAGTGACTATGATATGGGTCTCATTGGAGTGTTAGTGTTGGGGGAACAGAACAAGCGACATTCAAATCTCAAGTGACTATGATATGGGTCTCATTGGAGTGTTAGCGGACGAGAAGCGTTCGGTGAAATTATTTATTGAAAAACATCAAAGAAATTTGGGCAAATCGGTGAATCACGAAGGAATATACTCCCGCATATTGGAGCACCTTGAAGTTGACTCCGTTGGATTTTTATCTCCGTAATAAGATAAAGGTTAGACACATTCAGAATACGTGAGCAGTCACTTCTAATATCGATACTAACACGGCCCATCTAGATGATAATACAAGTGTCGAATCCGAGGATGGTGATGAAGATGATGACTTACAAATTAATAGCATGACGTGTTTGATTGATCGTGATGAAGGGGACAACCAACACATTGACGGGTGTTATACTAATAATCAGTATGTCATGTTAGAGGATCCGTCGCCCGATGAACTTCATAGAGAAGAATGGATTGATAACTCCACGATGGAAAGTATTCCTATCAGCACTAATATCGTTAATGATACAACAGGCGAGGACTTCTCATTCAAGAAGGGGGATCTATTTGAAAATAAGGAGAAATTGATCCATACGCTTCGTTTGTGGGCCATTGAAAAAATATCAAGTTTAGGCCAACAAAAAATAACTCAACAAGCTATAATGTGGTTTGTTTTTATCGTAAAGATGACGAAAACGAAGAGAATGGTGGACACCACAACGGTAATGCGAAATGTCCTTAGAAGTTTAATTCACGCTTGGATGTAAGAGTAGGCGGGAAATTTAAAATCACGACTTACAACGGACTCCACACATGTTAGCAATCATCGATTGAGATGAATAACAAGCATGCGTCCGCATCTTTTATATATCGATTGATTTACCTAATCTAAGGGAGGATCTTGATCTAAGATCAAAATTTATTCATTTTTTAGTACATAAAGCAACCAAATTGGATGTATCATGTAACAAGTATTAGAATGCTAGGAGGAAGGCGATGATAAAAATGTTCGGGGATTGGGACAAATCTTATGGATCTTACCATATTATCTCGAAGCACTCAAAAGAGAAAATCTGGGGACTGTCTATGAAGTATCATCAAACCCTGTTGATAGCGGAGAACGACGGTTCACAGATGTATTTTGACCTTGGCCCTTGTATTGAGGGTTTCAGATATTATCGTCCTCTTTTTAGCATTGATGGCACCCACTTATACGATAAGTACAAAGACGTTTTGCTTGTTGCAATCGGAGTTAACGCAGATGGCGGATTATTCCCTTTAGCGTTTGCAGTGGTTGATATTGAAAACACAGAGAATTAGGCATGGTTTTTTGCATGCATTAGATATCATATCCCTAGTGTGAGGGCGTGATCGATTACATTCATATGATAGGATGAAAAAATTCCAAGAGCACTCCAATAACATTTCCCGTCGCCACATGAACATCGTTATTCTAAGAAATTATGTAAGTTTCTAAGCTAAATTAAAACTGTAATTTTTTAATTAAGATGTTATTTGCTAAATTGTGTATATATTATTTAATTTGCAGGTCCGTGCTTTTTGATAACATTGAAGCTGAGATTGATGAGCACATGCCTGAGGTTCAAGATCCAGCGGCGTTAGGAGTCTTCAACAGGATCAAGCAGATAATAGCACAGGTGTTTCATAAGACTCATGTCGACGAGTTTGCGGCCGTGAGGACAGGTCACGGTCATTTGGGCAAATGTACACGCAATGACGTAGGCCACGAGACGATAACGATGGAGCCAACACTTCTCATGCTGATGGAGCCGGTACTTCTCAACATCATACACAACCAGATACTCAGATAATCGAGGCTCATCAGTAGGAACGCAGGGGTGGGGAAGAGCGAGGGGAAGGGGGAAGAGAGGAAGGGGAAGGAGAGGAGAAATTTTGGGTTGTATGTGATCTTATTTTGTTAAAATTTATAACTTTTATGATTTTTCAAATACTATACTTTTGTGGATCAATTATTGTTTATATATGTGATCTTCGTGAGTATTGTTTGATTCGTGTTTAATTCATGACCGAATTTTAAGAATATTATTATAATTCAGTGTACACGCGATGACGTAGGCCACGTGACGATGACGATGGAGCAGACACTTCTCATGCTGATGGAGCCGGTACTTCTCAGCATCATACACAACCAGATATTCAGATAATCGAGGCTCATCAGTAGGAACGCAGAGGGTGGGGAAGAGCGAGGGGAAGGGGGAAGAGAGGGAGGGAAATGAGAGGAGGAATTTTGGGTTGTATGTGATCTTATTTTGTTAAAATTTGTAACTTTTATGATTTTTCAAATACTATACTTTTGTGGATCAATTATTGTTTATATATGTGATCTTCGTGAGTATTGTTTATTTCGTGTTTAATTCATGGCTGAATTTTAAGAATACTATTATAATCCAGTGTATATGAGATCGATTATTGTTCACAGGTGTATTTTCGTGATTATTGTTTGATTCAGTATATATTGTTTGATTCATGTAAATCGATTAATTCATGGCGAAAATTTCATGTATTATTTTGGATTGTATGTGTAGCTTTCATAATTACGTTGCATATATAAAAAAATGCACAGGTTGTGCATGTATTTAAATCCTGCAGCTTCACGAGACTTCAAGTCCCGCGAAGTTGCAGTTCTCATTTTTCAGAGTCGCGATTTTCTAGAGAATGAGCTAAAACAACTATACGGGACTTGAAGTCCCGTGAAGATTTTTTAAACTTTCAAACTTCACGGGACTTCAAGTCCCGTGAAGTTTAGCAGTTTATCAAAATAGCTGCTAAACTTCGCGGAACTTCAAGTCCTGTGAAGTTTTTTCACAAAAACCGACCTGGTTTCGGCGCTAAGGCTGAAACCAGGTCGGTTTTTGAAAATAAATGTGAAATGGATTGGTTTTTGGGATTAAATGTCCAAATAGGACGGTTTTTAAAAATTTTCCTAAAAGAGAATACTTAATAGTACACAAAGAGACTTCTTTTGCAAACGTATCTTGCGTACTCTCTAGATGCGAACAGGAAACTATGGCAATCATGATGCAGTATCAAATATTACCTTCCCAATAAAGGCCGATGAAC